CCCTGTTCTCTGTAATCCTCCACTTACACCAAAGAAGATTAATTGCACTGTCCCTGTCGCCAAACAGCAAACTTCTTTCTAAAATGAGTGTTCCACAGCATCAATACTAATTTCAGAGAAATCTGTAGTTCTGCAATGACTTCTATCAGTCAAATCTGTTACACCAAAGAACCAAATTTTTTTTTTTTTTGCTAAGTCCCATTCCTCAGCAACTGTGTTTCTGGCAAACAGCTTCTATCCCACCTAGTCCCCAAAACCAGAGCCCCAATGGCAATTCAGGAGACAAAGCACTTCCCAGGGATGAGAAGGGGCTGCATGCTTGGGACAGGCAAAGCAGACAAACATCTGCCTCCCCTCCTTCAGCCATGGTTCACTGCCTCAGCCCCGCTGTCTTGGGCCAGAGGAGAGGAACGGGAGGACACAAGGCAAAGCAAGGGCTGACCCTTGCTTGGGGCATATCCAGGTACTGCTGGGGATGGGGGTTTGGGACTCTGACAAGGGGAGGTGTGGGTAGACTCTCACCTCCTGGCATAGTCATACAATGCTCGTTTCCGCTCCTGCAAGGACAGGTGTCGCTCCACAGGGGACTTTGCAAATTGCTTTGTAGCTGGCTGGAACAGAAAGCACATGAGCCATCAGGAGACAGTCAAAGCCAGGAGACCTCCTTAGTGGCTCTGCAAGGACCCAGCATGCCAATTCGGTCTCCAGTTTAAAATGCTCCATTCCCCTGACACCATGGCTAGTCTTGAACACAGGCCCTCATGCTCTGGCTGCGAGCCATCAGACCAGAGGAGACAACACAACCACCAGAAGTACCTTAGAAGAAGGCACAGCTGTGGAGCCCTGGATGCCAGAAGCAGCTGCAGCCTGGGAGGTAGACGGGGCAGGCAGGTCAGTACCAGCCTCCTTACTTTCAGGGAAGAAGGGTACTCTCCCCTCCAGCAAGTTGGCAATGGTGGTATCCACACAGTTGGTTTGGGCTGTAGGGACAAAGAGGATCTGTTAGAGAGGGGGCTGCTACATCAGGACACTCGCATCCTTGCTGCCATTGTGCTCCACAGTGCAGCAAGGACAAGGTTTCTGCTTTCAGGTATCACAGAAATTTGGCATGGAAGGTAACCCTCCACCCGTGCTAATACCCCAGGCTTACCCAGGTCTATCCTGATGACCTCCAGAGGCACATGAGGCAGCACCTCCTTGACTCGCTGAGCCATTGCCGTGATCCGCGCATCCTCAGGAGCAACGCCAGTCAGGCTGGAAGGTATCCTGGGCCTGGCTGCCAGGGGCTGGCTTGAGGCTGCAAGAGAAAGAACAGTGGGCACAAGATGGTGGTCTAAAGGTGCACGGCCTTTGAGTTGCAACACCTCCACTTTCTTTGGAATTAACTGGCATGATAAGAAAGCCAGACCTCCTACACACGACCATCATGTCTGCACTCAGCAGCGGTCGTCCTCTCCCTGCCAGCTAGCTACAACCCCCAGCCTAGAGCACACAGGCAGCCCCTGCTCCCCAGGGGGATATCGAACATGCCTTCTCCTCTCCTTCCACGCACAAGTAACCAAGAGCAGACTGAGGCCTCCCCGAAGGCAAAGCCTAAGTGGCAGCTCT